AAAAACAATCTAATTCATATTTCTAAAATAAAATATTTTAACCATTATCAATTAAAATTTATTAAAATAATATAATTTTAAAATAATATTTTTTATAATTCTTAAGATATAAGACATACATACACTATTTTTATTAAAAAATAATTTTACTTTATAAAAGTACAAAGAATATTTCATCCCCTTCATTAGTAGTGTTTTATTTTTATTTTTTAATTTTGGGTTTATATAATGGAACCGACCTCTCCCATATTCTTACTTGTCCTATTTATATGTTATAAAAATATCATTAAATTATTTAAATTATTAATCATCCCCTTTGTTAATTTAAAAATGCATCAAACACAATTACCCACATAATTTATTTACTTGTTCAAAGATTATTAAGCTGCCTAAGAGTTTTTATCAAGTTTAAACAACTTCAAGCTCAATTCAAATCAAGAAATTAACTTGCAAGTTACACCGCTCATGAACATAAATGTGTGGGAGCTGAGCTTCAATTTGCAAGAAAATTCTATTATGAACCCTCGAAAATCCCAAGATTTCTCGAAAGATCTTCGGGTGCAATTTAAATAAAAGAATGGAGTAGATCATGGGCACAAAAAATAAAAAAGAGGGAGGGCACGAGCCATCATCTTGTGGGTAAGGGTTAGCCGCTTTCGTGGGGGCTCACACCATTGATGATGGGACGAGTACGGTGTTTGATAGGGGAATCACGTGATGACACCTACGCATCGTGTGTCAAGAAAGCGCCAAGGCCCAAAGAGTACGTCGTTTCAGTAACGCAGTCACGGGCCCATTCCTGCATTTCTTTTGGCGCCTTTATTATTATCTTTTTAAAATTTATTTAGTTGAATTATAAAATAAAAATTAATTTAAAATTTTTTAAATTGGTTTAATTATTGAAATTTTTTTAATATGTTTAAGTATTTTGTCTAATAAATTAAAAATATAGTAATTAATTAATCATTGCTTAAATAAATATTGTTATTTAACATATACTCTTTTCATTTAATTTTAATAGTTTTAATTTTGTTGCAAACAAAATTAAAAAA